GGTTTCTAAGTGACTCCTGCTAGTGTGCCTTCTAATCCAGTAATTGGTAGAGAGAATGAGCAAGAGAAAGAGAGAGAATGATCGAGTGAGCAAGCGAGAGAGAGAGAATACACACAGAGAGGATTGACACTCTTCTCTCTTTCTTTAATTAGCAGTATTAGACAAAGAGCCCTGGGAGAAGACAGATTGCATCCCATCTCGAGTGCGAGATCACTCATGTTGGAGTGGCCCTCTGAGCAAACTTTGAGCAATGTGCCAGTGTCTGAAATATAGCCAGTGACCCAACACACCTCCTGTAACTCTACGTGGGCAGAACCTCTGTAGACATATCGACATCAATGGCAACAGAGCTGGGATGGATTATAATATAATATAATATATAACTTTTATCAAAACTTTGGCCTAACCTCCAGCACCTTGAATAAGGTGGCCTGCCACTGTGCCTTTATGACCCCAAATGTCCTCTTAATTACAGGTCGGGCTCTGCCATGCTTCTAATTAAAGCTCTCCTGCATCCTCTCTTAGAATTGGTGTCTGTAAGGGACACCAATAATTGTAATTGGAAGCTCAGGAAAAGAATAGCCTCCATTTCCAAAGAGAGAATAACCAGGTGGAGGATGCAGTGAATTTGTTGTCTGTTCTCACACATATACATACACGTATGTACATGTGTATGTGTGTGTCTACAACATCAGGAGGATTCGCCCCTTCCTCACAGACGAGACGGCGCTGGTGCTCATCCAGGCTCTTGTCATATCCCGCCTGGACTACTGCAACTCACTACTTGCCAGAGCCCCGGCGTCGACCATCAGACATCTGGAGCTTGTCCAGAAAGCTGCAGCTCAACTGGTGTTCAATCGCCCCAAGTTCTCCCACACAACTTCCCCTTCTCCGCTCTCTAAACTGGCTCCCTGTAAGAGCTCGCAACCAGTGACTCTGGTGCTAGCCTACAGGGCAGTGAAAGGAACAGCTCCTTCCTATCTCCAGGCCATGGTAAAGCCCTACACCCCCGCCCGACCAATTCGCTCTGCTGCCTCGGGGCGACTGGTTGCCCCGTCGCTCAGAGGTCCCTGCGGCCGATCGACCCGGTCACGGCTTTTTTCTGTCCTGGGCCCACAGTGGTGGAATGAACTCCCCACTGACGTCAGGACAGCAGAGTCGCTGCCCATCTTTCATCAGACTGAAAACTCACCTCTTCAAGAAGTACTTCCACTTAGCACTTATTGTATTGTATTGTATGTTTCTGCACTGTACTTTTGCTCTGGTTTATGCTCTTAGATGCTTGTTTAAAAAAGGAGATGCACTTATGACTTCTGGTGACTAGTAGTTCTCTTGAATATCTATGTTGAATACACTTATAAGTCGCTTTGGATAAAAGTGTGTGCTAAATGACTGTAATGTAATGTGTGATACTTGCAGTCCCTGACTCAATAGAAACATTGTAAGACATATGATCATCCAAGAATCCTGAACAAGAAACCCACCGACAATTAAGCAGATTGCATTATTAGTGTTTAATGTGGCTCACTGTTTTAAACGTATGAGAACAAAATACTATTTGATATCTGTTCCCTTGAACCCAAACCCACAAGCTTTACATATACATTTAATGACATCAAACCCTCAAGATCTTTCACCCTGTAAATGTGAGAATGGAAATGTATCTGCCACAGAAGATACAGAGAGAGAAACAAATCCCTTTTCTGCAGCGAGTTTGTTTTCCAATTTAGTTCCTTCAGTCTGCTTATGTGTAGCCAAGAGACCCAAGGCAATTTCAACTCCACAAAGAAACATCCTCCTTCAAGTCCTGCGTCAGAGCTTTTAGCAGGATAATTTGGGAAGGAAGATGCAGTTAATCTGAGGACAAAAACTCTGCTGAAGGTGTCCTCTGCACTGTAAAGTGCAACAGCCTTATTATCCATCACATGAATGCATCCAAACCAAGCCCTCTGATTATCTTTACAAACAACGTTTATTAGAGCTTAGACTGGATAGAATAATGATGAGGTTGTTACGGGTGTAGTAAGGACCCAGTAAGGTCCCAGGAGCAGTACGACAAACACCAGAAATAGTTTGACTTGAAATCTTTATTTTCTTCGACACACACGTCAGGAAGAATATCTTCAGGAAAACAGCGACAGGTTCTCGTGGTCAAGGACAGAAGGCTGAGCGAGTTACCAGGGCAGAGGCAAGGCGAGGTAGTCCGAAACAGGCAGGGTCGGTAACAAGGAATCAGTTCAAGGGTGTATGCAGGGAAAGTCTTGCATGGAAGCGGAGAACAATCTGGCTGTGAGTGTGTGTGAGGCAGGGGTTTAAATAGTGGAGGAGGCAGAGTGAGCAGGTGAGAGTAATGAGCTGATGAGGTGAGTGTGACTGGCAGGTGCACTGAATGAACTGATTTAGGTGAGTGAGAGGTGGAAAAAACTAGATAGTATGGGCAGAGCTGTAACAGAGGTAAGATAAAACTCTGATGGACTGGAATATGTCTTCATCCTCATCTCCCATGCAGAAACACAATGAATAAAAAAAACATGGAGATTTTACTTTTCTTTCTGATGATTCCACATAGAAAAGTGCTGAAGATGATGCCTGGGGGCTTACAGAACGGGATGGGCGGGGGGGGGGGGGGGGGGGGGGGGGGGG